AAATAAGACAACGACTGAAAAGGAGAGAAAGCGAGTCTGAGAATTTGTTGCTAATACTTTCTTATAGGTCTGTCAACACAATTTGACACTTTGAGGTTAAAGAAAAAAATTGCTCACATAAAAGAAAAAAATTGGGAATTTCATTAGTTTTCAGTTCACCCCTGTTTCCATATTAAATGTGTCCAGGATCAGCAAACTCCACTGTACACATTCTGTAAATTTGTAATAATATACCTCAAGCAATAAAATAATAATCAAACCCTGTAAACAATATACCCAATGGTAGTAACAACAAGCAAATATAAGAAAAAATAGTCTTCAGAACACATGGTTAAAATGTCAAAATATGAGTTTCACTGTCATAAATAAAAATATCACGAGTATAAATCATAAATGCACTGTGTAAGTCATCAGTATTGTTAATAATGTCATTATTCATAAGTATGCCTTTGAAAATGCTTGACAACAAGTGTCAACAATACTACAGAAAATAAAAACAAGTTCATGGTCAAGTCTTAAGACGTACAGATATATGGCAACAGGAGCAGAGGTTGACATGTGAGAAGGTATAGACAGACAGACAGCTGAACAAAGTTATCAAAACAGGAGATGTGGAAAGATAACTTTGAACACTAACTGACCAGGAACATTTCAAGTTGATGTGAAATCATGGACAAAGATTGAAAATGAATCTCTTCAGTGGCATTGAAGGTCACATTTCAAAACAAAATACTCCTGAAAGGCAAGGTAGGGGCGTACATATAAACAGTTGTCGTAAAGCTGAACCTACCCCTCCCCCTTAAGAAAAACAGATAAAAACAGTAGACAGTAAAGATGTAGGACCTAAAAGTGTTGTTTTCAGTAAGATTTTTTTTACTACACTTGCAACATTATCAGGTCATATAAGTGCCGAAGATTAGATGTTTAGTTTTAGTAGAGATTTTACGGCGCTCGCAACTGCATAAGGTCATACGAGCGCCAAGGGGTGGATTTCAACAGAGAAGTCCTTACAGGGAATCAGACTTACTCTGCTCACCTCTCTAGCTGTAACAGCACAAAGTCTGCTTCAACTATCAAGGCACCCCGGAAACAGTGGGTCACAAGAGTGTGACAAACATACAAAAGAAATAGAGGAAAATGACAATAGCAAGGATTAGGAAAGAAAAGGCAGCAGTTCTCTGTTGTAGATCAGGCACAGTTATGAGCATGACATTGATGAATCAGCCTATTTACAATTCTACTGTGCTTGAACGAGAAATTTCCCCCCTTTGAGAATGGTCTAAAGACACTTCAGTCAGAGGCACCGCCCTGGGGGGTAAGATTAGAGGTGTTACATGAGAAGTAACAAAACATAAAAAAGAAGGAGGAGAGACATTTTAAGGAAGATAGACGTTCTATTTCTATAGGAAAAAAGCGTTGCTCTCTAACCACCACCAAAGAACGGGATAAAAAGACAGAAGGAGAGGAAGACCCCCCCAAAAAGAAAAAAGACAGAAGAAGAGGAAGACCCACAAAAAGATGAGAGCAGGAATATAAGAGCAATTGGTAGAGGTACCATGATATCATAGACTGATAGGTTCCATGATATCAGTGATTGGTAGGTATCATGACACCAATGACTTGTAGGTTCTACAATATCAGCGTCTTTACCATGACATCACCAATTTGTAGATACCACCAGTACTAGGATAACTGCAGTTGGTAGGTGAAGGTAGAAAAACATCCAGGAAACTCGTGGATACCAAAGAGCAAACAAGAGGTGCATAGAGAGAGGCAGAAACATTTTGCATAGACAGCGGGCAAGACATGAATTATATATATAGATAGATGAATGAAGAGTTTGCAGTTGGTATGATTCAAAACAGTGACAAGTCTGTTGGCTAGAAGAGAAAAATTTATGGCAAGGTAAGACTTTTTCCAATAGCAATGACACCATAAGAATTGGCTGAAAATTTAAAAAAGTATCAAAATCTTTACACATCTTGGCCATTTCTGAGATTTGGTTCGATAAAAGGTAGCCTACTTCTCTCAAAGAAATAAGACAACGACTGAAAAGGAGAGAAAGCGAGTCTGAGAATTTGTTGCTAATACTTTCTTATAGGTCTGTCAACACAATTTGACACTTTGAGTACTGTTACATAAGACTCACATTGCCCATTTATTGACACTTTGAGTACTGTTACATAAGACTCACATTGCCCATTTATTGACACTTTGAGTACTGTTACATAAGACTCACATTGCCCATTTGACACCTGCTGCAAAGTCACAAAGCAGAAAACTATTATAACAATGAAAATCACTTCTTTTGCTTCTCTGAAACTTTTTATCTCCACAATATAAGATCTTATACTTTATGACATACCCTGATGAGTGACAGTGTATTAGATTTTAAGAATTCTACGCATTCTGGGATTTCGTAGAAACATAAATAAAATCAACGCCAAGGCAAAAACAACAACATATAAAATGAAAGTCCGATACTGGGTAGCTGTTGATGGAGGAGAGTCAATAATTATGAACGGTTCCGGGGGTAAATTGTTCAGTTTGTTTTGATTACTCTTCTGAAGATACTCGATTTTACGGAATGCGTCCGGTCCTGCATTACCGAAAGAGGAATGATTGCGTTGGACTATTTGAATCGTGTCAACTTCCTCGTTGGATTCAGCGGCACGCGCTGACCAGATAAGACGGGTCCCATCTAACACATTCAGTCGAGCAAACAGCTCTTTTTTCCCATCCGTCTGTGCAAAAGGCAGCCAGAAATGTTTGGAGCGTATTTCGTCCACCATGTACTCGTAACCCATTGCACCATTCACAATGTACACAGGCGCCATAGGGTTAACGTAGTCAGTCTGAAACGCTCTGCCCCCGTACATCGGCAGAGTGCGTTCGTAGCTGTGCTTGTGCCCGCTCAGATATAAGTCGACTCCCTGCTCGTAGAACAAATCCTCGAGAAGTCCTCGGAGAACCGAGTTCTCCTTGGCACAATCGACCTCCATCACGGACTGGGAGCAGTACAGAGGCTGGTGGCCCATCACGATGAGCCACGGCACCGATTTCCGGTTTTTGTTGGCCTTGATGAGATCTTCCTTCAGCCACATAAACTGTGTATCTCTCAGCGGGGAAGAGTACAGGAAAGTCTCAGTGTTGATGCTGACAAAGTGTGTCTGCCCAATGTCAAGACTATACCACAAGGAATCTACTCTCATGGGCCACGGAGCATTTGGCATAGAAAATCTGTGGATGGTTAAAACAAGAGAAAGAAACAGTCAGACCTGCTTTGATGGCCATCTGTCCAAGACAATCACCTGTATAAACAGCCACCTTCTCCTCCCCCTCCCTTACATTCTGTCAATAACAGAATAATGAAACCGTCTAAGACATCCACTTTTTTTCTCTTCGACAATAAGGTGTCCATGTTGGACAATTTCCATCATGTTATAGAAACAAATGTCCAAAGCATTACACTGGTTAGATCCAGTCCTGTTGTCAGTACAATATGGTCATTTTAGTGGAGAGAACAAGCAGGGCTTTCAATCACATCTGAGTGTGTCATATTTCAATCTGAGCTGAAATAACATTGAAATTTTCAAAATTGTGAGTAGACATTTCCCTGAATTTTTGTGGAACTGCACTGTACTAGACATTTTTCAACATGGCAAATCATCCTCATGTTCCAGTATATTCTCATACAAGTAGAACTTACTCTATAGCAGATAAAAATTCCCATGCTTTTTCAGTTTAAAAAAATGACATTAAACTGTTTGATAGGACTTCCGTAAACCTAGAAATATATCATAATCAGTGATTTTGAGTTCTGTGTTCATAAAACATTTATTTCTATAATTGTTTTTCATTTACTGCATCCCACAATTGGTTCATAATTCAACAAGGTTTGAACTCCAAACTAATTTGACACCCAAAAAGCACACATGCAATGTCAGTCATGACCTGAACGTGGCCCGGCCCCCTTAGAGTGTCAGGAAATTAGGGCCGAAACATTTGCTTGAGGGGGGTTCTTCGTCTGAAGATCTCATGCTGTCCGCTCACCCAGCGAGTTTTCTGCCACACCACATTGAGGCAGCATGGTGAAATCAGGCGCTCGTCAAAATACAGAACTCGAACAAACAGGTATTTTTCCGCCAGTTAAGAAAATTTTATCAAATTTTTATTTTTTGGCTCAACCTCTTTTATATCCATATTTAACAACAAATCTATGAGAACATTACTGAAAAACCATGATTAAAGGCACAGAATATGCTATTTTTCTGTTTTCAAGGACTCTTTAGCTATTGGAGTTATTAAACTTGGGCGGCCATTTTCTCGTTAATTTCACCACTGAAACCAGGCAACCTCACTTACTTCAATCGCAAATATCTTGAGTTACGGTCAAGATAGATGGATATTTATTTCATAAGTATCAAGGCAAATAAACCAGCTTTCAGATGATATCACCTCTACATGCCCAAAAATTGACGAGCGTCTGATTCCAATGCGCTGTGACACATCATGTGTGAGTACACGTGTACATGTGTGTCACTTGATATGTCATTACAAACCACTTTTTAGATCACGTGTTAAGAAGACACTGCATTTGTAAACCAAAAGAATAAAAATCCTATCATTTTCAACAGAACTGATTTCAACATGAATGATGTTCTCCAGGGTTGCATTTTCTTGATTAAAAAGACCCAGGCAACGGATCAAAGTTACCTGAGTGTCATAGCGTGATCAGTGAGTCATTCTCAGTAATTTGTAATAAATTAAAGTTACAGAATTCATTAATTTTCCTCTGAAAGCATTGCATCTACTTCTCTTCTTAACTCGGAATTTATGAGAAAATAAAATGTCCACAATAAATTTCATTTTTGTCAGAATCAGAAAAGTGCTAAAGAACTGTTTGAAAATTTGGGGTGTTATGTTTTAAAGTAGCCAACAATTTGCAAAGGCTCCTATTCCTATGTCCAAAATAAAAAACAAAAAAAATTTGAAAGCAATGAGAAAAAATGCAAAACAATGATATTTTGAGCCGTTATAAATATGTTATATTAATCCAGCAGTTACTAGTAACACTTACCTGTATCTGTACTCGTAATAAGGACTAGGACCCTGCAACTCTTTCTCATGGTCACCCGGTGTTGTCATGTACGGAACCTTCGTGGCGAAAATCTCCACATGCTCCATGAACTGATCTCCGACAATCCCCGAACTTGTGTGCAAGTTGTACGCGATGTCTCCGATGTGGAACACAGCCTCGTACTCTCCGTTGACCACTTCCTGGCACACAAAGTGCAGCTGCTTGTTAGCTCGTAGACCCATGTCTGCAACCACCATGAAGGTGTGCTTGCCCTTGGGGTCATTATGCGGCACTTTGAACTTTAGCTCTTCTGACGCGCTTCCCGATTCTGTTCCCTCGCTGACAACGCGGTATGTGTAAGTCGTATCAGGCATGAGATCTTGCAACTCCGCTCGATGGATGAATTTTAGTGCGTGTTCTCCGTGTTCAGATGCATTTACTTTGATTCCAAGCGCCCTCTTTAGGTCATTTGGCTCGACCATGTACTCGACATACCCCCTGACATCTTCTTTGGTTGACCACATAATTACGACATCAGTTGGAAAAGCGCCAAAGGAGATGTGTATGTGCTGTGGGTGATACTCATTCTTGAACTCGTTGATGAGCTGAGAAGACAAGGAGTTTGACATGCCTTGCTCCTGCTCGTGACAATACCGAGGGCTCAATACGAGCATCAACAGAGCAGCCTGGACAAGCATCTCTCTGACGGGAAATAGGAAATCCATTGGTTCACATCAGGTGCCCATCACATATAACTGTTTCCTGCAGATGACAAAAAAATATGCAAGAATGAATTGCAAAAGAAGTTCTTCTTAAAATATTCCAAGACAGGAGTGAGGGGGAGAGAGGGGAGGGTGGGGAGAGAGGGAGGTGGAGGGGTGGAGAGAGGGGGGAGAGGGAGGAAGAGGGGAGGAGAAGAGAGGCAGGGAGAGGGGTGAGAGGAAGAGAGAGAGAAGAGAGACAGGAGGGAAGGAAGGGGGGAGATATTTATAAAGAGAGAGAGAGAAAGGGGGGGGAGGGGGGGAGAAGAAAGAGAGAAAGGGAGAAGGTAATAAAGAAGCACACTTTAACTTTAACGATTTAACCATGTTCTGTCTCCTATCCTCTATCTCTATTATAATCAATCTCTCTATCTCTTTGCCTCCCCGTCTCTCTCTTTCTCTCTCACTACTGCGAACACTGTCTGCTATCTTACCCCCTCTGTCTCTTGTCATCATGTGCACTCGTGCCAATGCAGATAGATACTTACTTCACACACACACACGCACACACACACACACACACACACACACGCATGCCTGCATACAGACACATACACACAAAACATAGATACACCTGGAGTATTCTAGGCTGAAAGTATTACATAAATTATTTATTATTATAGAGGGCAACAACTTGCACCTGGCAATATAATGGACTCTAACAGAGATGATCAGAGAACGAGAATGGGAAACACAAGTACGTAAGCCTGCAGACGGGAAGGATTATTTATATAATGATAAAGAGAGAACCTTTCATTAAAAATCAACTTTCATTCTTGAACAAGATTTTGTATATTACATCATCTTTCAATTATGTTTTATGAACCATATTTTTCTTAGCCAATTGGGTTCAGTTGCAACATATTCACTTTCACATTGCTGAACTTGATATTTTGGAATCAACAAGAAATGATTTATATATACTCCATTTCGTGTGTATCTGATGTCTAATGCAATCTGAATTGGGCACCTAATCAAAATCAAACCAATCAAACTTTTAAAAAGGAGTGATACTGTACTGTACCTTACTTACCTTGAGCTATAAAACAAATCAAGGAAAAGTTCATATCAGCTCTAAGTGGTCATCGCATCTCTGATGATTGATCATAGTCATAATTGATGGCTAAAGGCTTTCTTGGACTCCGACTGGTTAACAACACCCTCTCTACTCTCAAACGTTTGTAGTCTAGAGTCTAGAAATCTTGCCTGACGTGAAGGTTAATCATTCTGTCACCTGTGTTGAATTAAGAACTAAGATCACAGCTCTCAATCTTATTCAGAGTTCTACTCTAACGAGGTTTGGGAGGCGCACTCTGACTAGGGGATGAGTCGTAACACTGCAAACGAAGACCTAGCCTAGGCCTACGCCGATTTGGGAGAGCAAACCAAACCGGTCAAACCCCCTTTTCTCTCTCGACGGTACGGCCAGAAAGATTGACAAAAACGATTTAAAAAAGATGCTGAGCCTGAGCTCTGTTTGTTGGTCCTCACCTTGTCCAACCAATGGCCAATGAAATAAAAGTCGTTCATCAACTTCTCAGGACGCACATCACACTGGAGAAGGGAACATGCCAGATTAATTTCTTTTAAGTTTTCTTTTGGTCTCATGAAGTCTTCGTTCTCTCTTGGGTTGTCTGGGCCAAGAGCTGCTTAGAACTGCTAAGCTGCTAGGCTATGTCGCTATGTTGATTCACCAGTGTTTTTGTCTGATAGCACGCCAAGAATCTATTTCACTCTTTACTTTTTACTTCTCAAGAAAATCATTAAAGAACGAATATCCAGTGAACCGAAGAAACGAATCACCGGAAGTAAACCAGCAAGTAGTTGATGTTTTTTTTTTGTCATCACCACAGTAGGTGAGCAGTGGGCTTGGCATCCTCTAGGTAGTCCTTCTGTTTGCTATTTTCGTGGCTTACCTTCTCTCAGTGGCCCAGTCAGGGCTGTTGCAACACCACCCTCCTTCGAAAAGTGTTCTCAGGATAGTCCTGGAATACTATGTAGACTATTTCGAAAAACAACTTAAATAATAAATCTTAATTTCCTCAGCCTCATTCATGACAGTCTGTAAGTGTGTAACCTGAGAATGAGACTTCAACAGTTTACGCCTAGAATCTAATTATTATTGAATTTCAGTCCAATATTTCGCCAATATATATCTCAACAAATAACTTGATCACGTTCTTCAAGACGTTTTAGTCTAGAATATATGTCATTAATAGTGTAGACTAATACAGTCTATCAGCCATTGTTGTTATGACAGAAGAAAGCATTTTACTGTCATATTCGGCTCGGGTGCTTGATACCGTGAGCGAGACTGTTTTGCCTGTGATACCAGATTTTGTTTGGGACGGAGCTCTTCACTTGTTGGAGCTTTCGAAGGAGCTGTCAAATGCAGATTTGCAGTATCAGGTGCTGATTGGACTACTGGTCTGGCTCTTGGTAAATCTACTGCTGATCAAACTGGCCTGGGCCATCTTCGGAGAAGACACAATAAAGCTCCTCTCTTCAAAGGGTAAGACTGTAAAGTTAAAGTACAATCTAGTAACCAATCTGCTGGCCCTGTTATTGTTATCAGGGAGAAAAGTTGAATGTCATTTCACAATCTTCCCTGGCCATACATCTTTATGAGTTTTTATATATTTCAACAAATTGGGGGGATTGGAGGGGGGGGGGGGGGGGTTTGCAATGATATCTTGTAGTTGTTGCGAATGAAAAATTAGACCTACTAATCTAGGTCTCTAGATCTAGGCCACAACCTTTTAGGCATACCCGCCTCAAACTTATTCTTGCAGCTGTCTGAGAGGCCTGTGGAAGTGTTCCCTGCTGATGTAAAGTGAAATTATAATTTAAAATTATAAAACTATAAAAAGTAATGAAAGGGTTATTGTGACAATAATTGTGTAGTCTAATGTAAAAGGCATGGCAGGATAATTTGTTGTGTTGTATTGTTTTGTTCAAGAAAGAGGGGAGGAGGTAGTATATTTAATATCCTCCCTGACTTTGATTTTTTGTTGTTGTGAGTTTTGGCACACTTTTAGAGATTGTCATGTCCCTCCCTTGTCTTTTAATGTCGGAAGGCTGGTTGATGAACCTCCTCCTCCTCCCCCCCCCTTTAAGAAATATCCCTTTATTGTCTCCTTGAACCCAAAGCAGTGAGTTTATCAAGTTTTGAAATGAATTCCAATTGTTTTGGTCGTTTTTGTGTTCACTAGCTTATATTTTTCTCTTTCTCTTTTTTTTCTTTAAAATCAACAGATCAAGCTAGACCTCAGCATCTGAAGAAAGAGTAGTTTTTGCTCTTTCTTTTTCTGTCAGTGTTACAGTTAGTTGGAGCCTTTAGCTATTGAGTGCCTGGCGGAACAATGTCGGGCATAAAGAGGTTCTTTGAGAAGCGCAAGCTCAATGTGAAGTTTAAAAAAGCCGGGGAAGGTCATCGCCTCGACCAACCGTCTAGTTCAGGTGGACGTAAAGCCCCCGCCCCTGCCAGTGCTCCGCGACCAGTGACGCCGCGGAAACCAGAAAGCGATGCGGCTCGTAAAGCTGCTGCAGAGGCTGCTCTGGCCAGGATGGAGGCCAATCAACAGTCGAAGACAGGTTTGTATCTTTGCACGGATGCTTTAACTCTCTATACTTGTGCAGACCTGCCACTCATCCCGACTCAGGCTAGGCCGAAAAGTCTCCAAGGTCCCGTGTGCAAGTAAAATGTCTCCTTTCACCTCTTTTCCTGCTCTCTTGCAACGTTCTGTCGTCTGCTTTCGTCTCCACTTTCTGCCCCCTCCCCCTCACCTCCTTTACCCCCTCCTCTGGGCTTCTGACTCTTTCTGCAGCCTATCTACTACTACTCCTTGGCTCCTTCTTACTGCTGTCTTTCAGACTCTCCCCTGGTCTTCTGGTAGGAAAGATCTACACCTAGCCTTCTCGGACAAGGGCGAAAAATCTCGGAGGTCCTGTGTGCAAAATGCGCACATTAAAGAACCGTTGGTGGTGTAAAATCAATAGGAGTAGGCTTCAGCCGTCACCCGCGCAAAATTCAAAATTTCATACCAACTGAAAATGTTTAATGTGTCCCTCGCGCTCATACGACCTTATGCAGTTGCGGCACCGTAAAACACTTTCAATACCAAACAAAACAACAACAAACAAATTCATCCCGATTTAATCCGGGTGTCTCAAGCATCCTGATTTTTTTGTGTCGTCTGTTGCGCTGGATTTTTCTAAAACTTTGGACACTTGGACTTGGAGTCCTTAATGTGATACATAAGGATTTAAGAAAATAATGATAACACGCACACACACACACACACACACACACACACACACACACACACACACACACACTCACACACACACACACACACACACATTCACATTCACAGGTGGCTTATACATGGATATATTTATGGACATCCTTGGAAAAATTTTAAGTCAACTTTGCAGTCACCTAGGTGATTTGTCGTTGATCCTAATTTTTTTCACCAAATCCCGATTTTTTTCCCCCTGAGATCCTGATTTCTGGATTTTCATAGAGTGGTAGGTGTGCATCTTTTAACTAAATTACTGTTTAAATTGTCCATGACGGACGCCCATGTTGGAGGAGAAAAGTGGTTGTCTTAGACATGTGGACACCGTTTCTTGTGGTCTAGAGGTTAAGGTGTCTGCATCTCATTCAATAGGTCCCGCGTTCGAATACAGATAGCGACGGAAGTTTTTCTTTTCTAAAATGTTCTCCTTTCACCTTCTTTCCTGCTCTCTAGCAAGCAATGTTCTGTTTATCTGCTTTCGTCTATACTTTCTGCCCCCACCCTCTTACCTCCTTTGCCCCCTCCTTTGGGCTCCTGACTCTTTCTGCAGCCTTTCTACTGCTACTCCTTGGCTCCTTCTTACTACTGCCTATAGCCACACCCCTGATCTTCTGGTAGGAAAGCTCTACACCTAGCCTTCTCAGACAAGGGCAAAAAATCTTGGAGGTTGCGTGTGCAAGTTGTGCGCATTAAAGATCCCTTGGTGGTCCAAAATCAATTAAGAGTAGGCTGTGGCTGCCACCCGGGCTAAATTCAAAGTTTCCTACCAACTTAAAATGTTTAATGTGTCCCGCGGGCTCATATGACCTTATGCAGTTGCGAGAGCTATACGACACTCACCCAAAAAAAAGGGAAAAAAACTGGTGGACATCTAGACTTGGGTGGCAATGTAATGCGAAACAAAACCCAAAGGGGGAAGTGGGAATTTGTACAGGTGATTCTTTTGGACAGGGGGCTGTTAGAACAGGTTCAATTGTATTTCTCTATGTTGACATTTTGAGTCAGTATAGCCCTGATATAATTTTACAAACATGAATGAAATGTCCCTGCTGTTATGTGTGGCTACAGATCTTTTCATTGATGAAGCATCTGTGGGAATCTAGTGTCTCATTGTGCACCCTAATGAGAGGAGCAAAGGGTACCCATAAAAAGAGGACAACATATTAATCTATATTGGCATAGTAGTCTTAGTTTGTGCCAAGTTTCTTCTATAATAAGCTTTCATTTTCCTTTTAGCTTTATTTTTTATCATCTTAGGATCTAGTCTGGTCTGGAGGTGGTATTTCTGACTCAGAGGTTGACGTGTAATGACCTTCCATCTTTCACAGTCGCGCACTGCCGTTGCACATTTTTGCCATATCCAATCCAGTCCATCTTATGATCATGATCTTCCAAGACTGACTCCTCATCTAGGTCTGGAAAACAATGTGTGCTGGCTCTTTAGTTGTACCTCACTGGTTCTGTTGAGCCTTGCAAAGCTAATAATACAGTAGAATATGGCTATAGCGGGTCATTCAGTTCCAGAAGAAAACTCATGCTGTAGGCAAGTTCCCGCTGTAGGTAGGAATGCAAAGGGGAATTACTGAAAAATCACGCACTGCACGCTCTCCTCTTCTTTTACTGTCTTTTTGGCCTAACCTAGGCCTAGCGCTATGGCACACATCTCAGAGTGGATCATGTATCGCGTCTCTCCGCACCCTCTCTCTCTGCTGCCTGCCCCACCTCACTCATCACTGGACTGGCCAATCACAATGCCGCACTGCTGACTGCCTGTTTGGAGCCCATCTACAGCCCCCCACCCCCCCAACCCCTATCCTTCAACTAGAGCTCGCTCGCTCGATCTCTCCCGCTGTATCCAAGTTCGGGCCTTTCCTTGCCCCGTTAAACCCAAGCACAGTTCATTGACTCAATTGAGCTTACATTGACAAAAAAAGGGAATTCCGGTAAGGTCCTGCTGTAGGGATGGTCCCGCTACAGCAGGTGCCTCTGTAGTCATGTTCTACTGTATCCTGTAAGGGTGATCCTGAGGGGGTAGAGAGCAGGATGTAGATTGTTGCTTGTTGCACTAGGTGACACAACTCTCCGACTGATGGGGTCTCTTGCCTAAGCCACGTGAATCCTTCTCTCTCATTGTAATGTTCACCTCATTTATAATCTCAAGTTCAGCTCTCTTTCGTCATGTCTACCAGCGTAGGTGGTGTAGCAGATAGGTGCTTTGTCGTCGCACACATGATACGCGAGTTCAATTCCTGAGTGGGGAGAATTATTTTTATTTAGCATTCGGTCTTTTACAGCTGGAATATTACCCCTCTCTGCCCGGGTTAGCCCTGACAAGCAGGGTCCAAGCTTGCCTCCTAAATGACCTTAATTGTGATACAGACTCCTAAGTTGGGCCTGCCTTTAGAATGACTTATAAAATTGTGTCTAGTATAGGGTGTTGAAATCATTCCAAAGCAAAAAAAAAAGAAAACAGGAATGTTGTGCCCTATTGTTCCCACCGCGAGAGTTGTCACAGGAGGATTCATCTTAGACAAATATCAGACAGTATATGTATGTCTTTTTTATTGTGCTATGGTCATTAGAGTATAGTACTTCAGATGATAATTTATCTCAAATAAAAGTCTTGTCAAGATCAAGTCAACCAGTGACTATAATGATCTACCTGTGACTATAATGAGGGTGTGGTGGCGGAGCGGTTAGTGCGCTCGTCTCCGAAGCGAAAAGTCCGGGTTTGAGCCTCGGTTCGGACACACATTTTTTTCGCCCCCTCCTGCCCACCAAGCAGTAATGGGTACCTGACCTCTCGAGTTGGGGACGTAAAGTCGGTGTGGAAAGGAACTGGCCACCCTACCACAATATACCAAAGGCCCAGGAAGTTGTCTCACACACAAGGCAATCTGCAATGTCCGGATCGGATGTGGGAACAACATTACTTTTTAACACACAAGTACAAGCTTGAATGACGTGAAAACCTGCTCTGAAATTATTGTTAATGAATAACCCTTTATGGTCTGAAATTTTGTTAATGGATAACCCTTTATTGAGGATTGCCAAGAAAAATGTGTCTGCCACTTCCGCTGTTTAAGAGTTCAAGAGGATCTGTGGAGGGTGTCACTAGTAGGTTTTACGTCTTCACTATCCCTGTACTGTTTTCTGGTTATCTTTTTTTCTCTCAAACCTCCTTAACCCTATCGGTACGCCCTGGGGTCATTTTGTACCCCCGGGGTTGTATTCTTCACATTTTTGAATACTTCTAGTATGACGATCTCTTTGAAACTTTCAGTATTTCTCAAAAAATCATTTTGACAGACTGCTATGCAGAGCGTATGGATCGGATTAACGAGTAAATTTCTTCTTTGGAAAATGATGGCACAGAGTTCCCCACGTTGTATGGATACTATAGTAAAACACGACGTATGGATAGGGTTAAAAAAAAGCTTCTCTTTTGCTGTCACTGGGGGTGTATTAGAGTGAAATTTAAGGATATTGCTGCTTTGAAGGCGGTGTCAATTTGTCTCTGAAATCTGATGCATTCCCTCTGTTTCTTTTTTCAGCTGATGGCATGGTCATTCAAAGGGCGAGAATGAAGCGTGAGTTGGAGATGGAAAAGAAACGCCTTCAGGAAGCGGAGGCGAAAGGCGCGGCTGCCCGGGCGGAGCCTCAGGAGGTGGTGCAGGATTGTGCCCCCATGGTGGAGGCCATCTTGTTCAAGTGTCCCGACATCGGGCCGCAAGTCTTACCCAAGGCGGAGATGGAGCAGGCCATTCACCAGTTCCTTCTGGACAACTTGGAGGATGAACCAGAGATGACCTCTGCCCTCATGATCTACACCCTGAACAAGAGCAAGGAGAAAGTGAAAGTTTGCGTAGATACCTTGATTAAGTATTTAGATAATATAATTAATAACCCAACAGAGGAGAAGTTTTGGAAGATTCGTCAGAGCAACAAGGCCTTCCAGGAGAGGGTGGCCTGTTTGAAGGGAACGGAAGAATTTCTCCACGCCGCTGGCTTCTCGCTCAAGTCAATGCCGTTTGAGGATGGGGAAGCCATGTTTTATGTGTTTGATTCGGAGCTCGCTAAAGATCTCGAGCGCATGCAGAATATGAAAGACGTTCTTCTCCAAGCAGAGCCGTTGCGGCCGGAGCTGGACCGCGCCATGAGAGTATTCCATCCTTCCAGCTCCGCCGCCAAATTTGCAATTCCAGACGAGTTCTACAACGTGTCGCCGGAGGAGTTGAAGAAGGAGCAGCAGAGACGGGAGGAGGCTACGGAGAAACTGGGCATGCTACGCACGAAGGCGATGAGGGAGAGGGATGAGCAGCGAGAGCTGAGGAAGTACCGGTACACGCTGATTCGCGCGCGTCTCCCCGACGGTGTGCTCCTCCAAGGCGTGTTCAGGGCCACGGAGAACATGAAGCACGTCTACGATTTCGTGCGGGAGAATCTCCAGAACGACTGGATACCCTTCCAGCTTTCGTCCGGCACGGGCCACAAGCTGGAGGAAGGGGAGGGCACTTTGGCCGAGCTCGGCCTCGCTCCAGCGACGGTGGTCAACTTTGCGTGGGACCAAGCGGTGATAAAGGAGGTCGCTGCTCAGCAGGGCCAGGCGGTAGCCAAAGTGCATCTGAAGCCGGAGATCATGGCGTTGATCCAGGAGTTGTAGCTTCCCCAGTGTTGTGTATTTAGGTAGGAATGTTTTTCTCTACGACTACGGCACATATTTATAAATAATTGTAATGACTGTTCCATTTAAGAGAGCTGTGAAACGGTTTCTCCATTTCGTATGGAGCCTTTTAAAGTAAAGAGAGCTCTTTTTTAATATTGTAATAACTTGTGTTTCATCAAAGGTTTTTAGCTGTTGTAAAAAGATATTAACCCATGCAGCATGTGGTCTTTCACCCCTTTTGGTTTTGCTTGTATCTTGCGCTTTTCACTTTTTACGAATTGCAACTTACAACTTTTTAGTTGCTGCAGTTGTTGTTACCGGCCTACCTGCAGAAGGCAACAGTTTAATTTTAACCACTTTTTAAAAAAGACACATATTCTTGCAACTTTTCATTTTTTTGGTGGTCTCAAGTCATGTTTATTTCTGGGTCATCTCCCCAGACCCCTTAAATTGAAATTTCATCTTACTATGACTCGAAGTCTGAGAGATGATTTTGAGACTGTTGAATGGCTGATCTGCATTTTATCATTGAAAAAAACAAACTGCGAAAATTTAGTTAAGCTTGGTATGAAATCCCTTGCAGAGATTAGAAATATTTGTTTGTTTGTCTCTCTGTTGTATATATATATATATATATATATATATATATATATATATATATATATATATATATATATATATATATATATATATATATATATCATCTGCAAGCTGTTCAAATATCCTAAGCCCAGAAAACAAAATTTTTACAGGTGAGAGAAAAAAAACTGTTTCAATTCTTAAAAAAACATCTTAGCTCTGTGGTGTCTTTTCTTGCTTTTGATCCAACATTTAGAATTAGAATGTCGACAAAATATTTACAAGTGGGACTAAACTTTCAAGTGTATGCGACTAAACTAATGTGACTAATTAAGAAACTGCAATAATAATCCCGCGGTGCAGTGTTACTGACTGAAGTGTCTTTAGGCCATTCCCAAGGGGGGGGGACATCAACCTGTTCTTATGCACAGTAGACTTGTAAATGGGCTGATTCAACAATGTCATGCTCATAAATGAACCTGAACTGCAACAGGGAACAGCTGCTTTTTCTTTCCTAATCCTTACTATCGTCCTTTTTCCTCTCTACTTCAGTTGTATGTTTGTCACACATCTTGTGACCCGTTATTTCTGGGGTGCCTTGATAGTCGAAGCAGATTTTGTATTGTTGAAGCTAGAGAGGTGAGCAGAGTAAGCCTGATTCCCTGTAAGGACTTCTCTGTTGACATCCACCCCTTGGCGCTCATATATGTCCTTTTGCAGTTGCGAGCGCCTTAAACTACTGAAACTAAAAACTGCAATAAACATTTTTGGTCAAAACTTTTGGTTTAGTATATCTGAACAGCTGGACGATGATCATATTGTTTCCCCCTCGATCAAGTCAATTTGAAAGTCAACCCTTTGAGCCCTCTCCATCGATAGATAGATGGTGCGTAAAAAATGCCCGTACGTAAGCCTAGCCGCCGGCACATAGGTGAGCAAGACCCTATATCCTACACGGCTCGTCTGGAACAAAACGCACATACGGACGGAAAACAGTGTTTACTACTCAGGATGTGATTGATTATTTGGAAGATCTCTCTGAATCAGATGCTGGTCATGACGAGGACTACCCTGAGTGGGACATGGAAAGTGATTCTGACAATCATGTGAATGTTACTGATATAATATTGCTTAGGAGCTCAGGCGGAGAGGCATGATAGCCTTAGGAGCTCAGGCAGAGAGGCACAATAGCTTTAGGAGCTCAGGCAGAGAGGCACGATAGCTTTAGGAGCTCAAGGCTCAAAGGGTTCAGTATAGTTTTCCTTCTGTTGTGCAGTTGTGGCATTTTGTGATATTGAATCAATTACTTGTCTACTGTAGCTGCCATGGTTCGTGTTGTGAAGGTTTGGATCTCAATCTTACACATTTTTGTGGCGATAGTTGTAATTATTTCAAAAGCCAACTTGTGTTGTAAGTTTGTGATTGTGGTGTGACAGTTAGAAATGTTTGACAGCAATAATGTTAATGACCGTTCTTTAAAACCAGAATTGACTTGAAAGCTTGCTTATTGGCCTGTTATTAGGCCTATAATAAATGATTTTTAAAAATAAATTGATAATGAATGAACGTTTTTTTCTGATTCGTACTAAGAGCCAGGGTCTTTTGGGTTTTTTTGGTCTTTCTGTTTACAATTATAATTTCTTTTTGGTCGTACTTCTTACCATTATTCTGATCTATTTTTGCCAAAGTGAGGCCGGCATTGTGGGTGGTTGGCAGGTGCTCTGATGTGGTTTGCTCTTTCTTTCCTATCAAACAACTGTCATTTTTATCTTTCCTCCTTCTTTTCTTTGTTTGTGTGTGTTACTCTCTAGTAACACCCCTAACCTACGGCTCTTACAAGCTCTATATATGTATTAGTATTAGTGTTGTGAGTGCCGTAAAACTCTTTCTAAAGCTATGCTAAAACTGAAGAGGTCGATAGTCTATAGTTCTGAATTGCTTTAAATAACATAGCAAGAAGGCCTACTGATTCAGCGTAAGAACAGAGCCACACCTTGTAATGGCACAGCTTGGCTTTGTGCTCAGTGCTTGGCCAGAGGAGACTAGTTTTTCCTTTACTTTTTTCTGAATGGTGAAAGACTACCGCGCTATGTGGGTGGTTGGCAGGTGCTCTGGTGTGGTTTGTTTCTTCTTTCCTATGAAACATCTATCGTCCTTATCTCCCCTTTTTCTTTTTTTTGTTTGTTACTCTCTTGTAACACCTCTAATCTTCTGGCGCTCATATGATGACCTTATGCAGTTTGGAGCGCCGTAAAAACCTCTACTAAAACTAAAACTAAGAATACCTCTATGTCTATCATGTCTGTTCTCTGTACATGTGTACTCCCCCAAAAGTAACAGATGGTAAGTCCCCTCAGAGAAGGGGGAAAACAACCTTGATGCACTGTACATTGAGTCACGTAAAAATAAGTGGAATGTCCAAAAAGAGGAGTCCTCTCAAGGCTGCCCCCGATGAGAATTCTTCTTGAAGCCATTCTCAAAATTGAAAAAAACTCTTTTTTCAGTATAAGTTATTGTGAGAAAATGACATTTATCTGTCTGAAAGGGGAGGGAAGCAATATGTTTGTAGGAATAAAAATCGTTTATGTTGATGAAAGTCAGATTAACTGTAGGTTGAAGTATTAGCTTTTGGTTACTCCTGAGGCCTAGACGGAGAAAGCTGAGAAAGAAAAGGAGTGACAGAAGCAGTAGTAGTAAAGAATACAGTATGTGTTTCGTATGGACTGATGCAAAGTTCAATGCTACTTTCAAATAACTAAATGTTATACAGTAGTCTCCACATAAGATCCCTGTGCTTTGGAGCAAGGAAAATATAGGGTCTGAGACTTAGGTGAACTGGATCTGAGCTGATGCACCAAGGGGGGAATCCACACTGACTCATGGTCAGGCCCACAATCGGTAAATGGATCCTCCTTTACTCTGAAATGTACTGACGTAACCCTGAGGTGGGTTTATGACGTATGATGAGCAGAGAGTGGTCAACCTTGACGACCAATATATTGATGGCATGGGGCGTGCCATTTTTTACTTATCCAATCGTGAGTCTCAAGGTCAACACAGTTCCTATTGCTCTTCCTTTTTACTCCTTTACCTGTCCAAAATTTATTGCTTTCCATCTTTAACGGAGGTCCCCCACCTTTGTCGTAACGCTCCATCGCGTTGTGACTGCACCAATTTAAACAAAAATTCAGACTGTCTAGAAAATTCAGGAGTAGAGACAACTGTTGCAATGGTCAGGGAAACAAAAGCACCTAGTGGTTTACAGTTCAACTTCAATGTGATCCCGTTTGGTGCAGACTTGAAAGCCTTAGTGATGTAAGCTGAGGTGGAGAGCTCACATGTGAGTGCGGTGCTGGGGGATAGAATCGCATCAATGAGTTCACACGTTGGTGTGATCCCGTAAGGAGCAAACATTGTGCATTGTACCTTTCCATCGAGACTTACAGCAGAGATTTGATCACATTAACGAGGATGGCTGATCTTTGACGCCATGTGCAGTAAAATTATCAGAGATTTTTACTGCCAGGTTGACCAGCTGCGCCCGTTTTTGTATTCCATATTATTATCTCAATTGCGGGATCTTATCCAAATGTAGCCCTTCAGAGTGGGATCTTAGGGTGACTTTGGTGCAGGAAAATTTATATTTTCTTAAATTAGCGAGATCGGGAACAGAAGCGGTGAGATCTTAGTTGGAGACTACATGTACTGCATTACCTGAACTTGTGAAACTTGCTACTGTGAGGAGATTAATCTTGTGCAACAGGACAAGTTACTCTTAGTTTTGATGTTTGTCCGTTCTGATGTCCATGTTTTTGAAGAGGAGAGAAAATGTGCTGATGACATGTTCCACACATTCACATTTTCATTCTTGCATTTATTATGGATTATCTTTTGTAAATACATGTATGTACGTTTAAATTTCACCCAGGCTGTGGAGAATGTGTTAGGGTTTTTCAGGGAGTGTAAGTTATTTTGTTGTGAATTCGTAACTCTTTTTACTACTGCCGAATGGTTGGATGTATTTCTCTTGTTCAAATTACATAATACATAAAAATAGCTCTCTCTGTTGCTTTCTCTCCCCCCCCCCCCCCCCCCCCCCCCCCCCTCTCTCTCTCTCTTTCTTCTCTTCTCTCTCTCTCTCTCTCACTCTTTTCCACATTAAGTTTCTGAGATTGTGTCACGCAGGTGGGCTTATTATCAGCTTTATAAATGATTTCTTTTCTTTGGCTCTGTTGTTTCTGCCTCTGCCAGTCGTACTTTTTCCATGTTCTAAATCATCGTTATGGTGTGCTTCTCCTCACTCAAACAAACAGTCGATGATTGAAGATCGCCCTCGAGACATGCCACTGGTTCATCTTTGCTTTTTTATTTTCACGCAGTTTAACAGCAGTGAGCTATTTGCTTGAGTGTGCAGTGTAAGAAAAAGGGTGTGCAGTGTAAGAAAAAGGGTGTGCGTGTCTTTCAAAAGAAATGACATTGGATTAGTAAGCAGGTTTGGAGGTTCGACCTTCAGCTTGGTCCAATTTTGTGTCCTTTGGAGAGACACTAAACACGCATTTCCCGTTTGGCTCAGTCGTTTCGGAGATGGACGTTAAATTCAGAGATCCCTCCTCTTAAATTAGAATATCCTAATAGTTTTGATTGGGGCATTAAACCTTACCATTTCACCATTTTTCACCAGAAGTACAGCGCTAGTATTGTGGCTTTGTTAAGGTTTTAATTTGGTGGTTCAGGACGTACCCCGGTGCCTGAGGTGTGATGGTTAGGCTCTTCGCCATCACCCGCAGGAGATGTGATTTTGATATGTTTGCATGGGGAAGTTTTTTATGGTGTATCCTTGTCTGTCTGCGTGGGAAAGTTTTTCATACTGTATCCTCGTCTTGCATGCTCAGATTTTTTTGTCTCGCTCTGCCTGTGTTGGCTCTGGCAGGCAGGGTGGAAGCAGCCCAT